GGGGAAGAGGGGAAAGGAGGTGAGGAGGGGGGGGAAAGGAGGTGGAAGAGGGGAAAGGAGGTGGAAAAGGGGGGGAAAGGAGATAAGGTGGGGGGGAAAGGAGGCGGAGGGGGGGTCCCGGTGCCGCCCCTGACGCCTCCTTCCTCCCGCAGCCGACCCGGTGGTGCAGATCGAGGGCAACCCCCACTGCTGCTTCTTCAACTTCAGCCCCAAGATCATGTTCACGAAGGTGGTGAAGGCGCAGCTGTGGGTGTACCTGCGCCCGGTGCAGCACACCTCCACCGTCTACCTGCAGATCCTCCGCCTGAAGCCGGTGACGGAGGAAGGCAGCCGCCACATCCGCATCCGCTCCCTCAAGATCGACCTCAACTCCCGCATCGGGCACTGGCAGAGCATCGACTTCAAGCACGTGCTGCAGAACTGGTTCAAGCAGCCCCAGAACAACTGGGGCATCGAGATCAACGCCTTCGACCCCAACGGCAACGACTTGGCCGTCACCTCCCTGGGACCCGGCGCCGAAGGGCTGGTAGGTGGCCTTGGGGTCCCTATGGAGCTCGTTGGGGCACAGTGGTGGCCCTCCGTGCTCAGGTGGGCACAGGGATCCCAGTTGTCCCCAGGGAATTGGGGGGGAAAGAGGGGTGGTGGGGATGGGCACAGCTCCACGGGGCTGGTGACAGCTTGTTGGGGTGGTCACAGCTCCATGGGGAGAGTGGCAACTCCATGGGGAGAGTGACAACTCCATGGGGCTGGTGACAGCTCTGTGGGGGTGGTCACAGCTCCATGGGGAGAGGGAGAGCTCCATGGGGAGAGTGACAGCTCCGTGGGGACAATGACAGCTCCGTGGGGCTGGTGACAGCTTGTTGAGGTGGTCACAGCTCCATGGGGAGAGTGACAACTCCATGGGGACAATGACAGCTCCGTGGGGACAGTCACAGCTCTGTGGGGGCAGTGACAGCTCCGTGGGGCCAGTTATGGATCTCCAGGGATGGTGGGACCCACAGCTCTGTGGAACCAGTTATAGCTGCGTGGAGCTGGTGACACCTTGATGGGGCTGGTGACACCTTGATGGGGCTGGTGGCACCTCAATGGGGCTGGTGACACCCCTGTGGGGCTGGTGGCACCTCCGTGGGGCTGGTGATACCTCGATGGGGCTGGTGATACCTCGATGGGGCTGGTGGTAGCTCCAGGAGGGCTGATGACACCTTGATGGGTGGCATCTCCAGGGGGCTGGTGACATCCCTGTGGGACTGCTGACACCTCGATGGGGCTGGTGGCAGCTTTGCAGGACAGTTTGGGACCCAGGATGGTGGTACTGGGGGGGTGGTGGGACTGG